GGACTACAAAAATACAATGGAAAGAATCAGTTTTGGCTAGAAAGGTGTGCCACAAGCTAACCTCTATGTGTATTAGAAAGGTAAATTAGTTCTGGAGGCTGCAGACATTTGATGTTTGTTTCTAAACACAAAACTTCACAGAATTTCAATTCAAAGACCTAGTTCTGAAGTTTGCCACCTTTATTTTAAAGTGACAAAAATAAAAAACTTTTTCTTCAAAAGTCAAACTGATAGACAATGTGGTGAGACATGCCTATAATCCCAGAATTCAGCATCAGCCTAGTCTACATAGTGAGTTCCAGACCAGCCAGAGTTAGTGAGAGGGAGGGGGGAATACAAAAAAAAGGGAGGGGGTCAATTTGAAACTTTAGTACAGAAAAAAGGTAAAGGTGGACAAAAAGACAGTGATTTAACAAAGGCCATAAAACAGAAATGTAACAATTTACTCAGAGTAACTTCTTATCTATGTCTTTTTTTTTTTTTTTTTGTCATTGTTTGTTTGAGACAATGTTTCTCTATGTAGCCTGGGCTTTCCTGGAACTCCATTTTTGTCTGGTCTTGAACTCAGTGATCCACCTTCCTCTGTCTGAGTGCTGGGATTAAAGCTGTGAGCCACCACATCCAGCTGCATTATCTCTTTTTTGAAGTATTCAAAAAAGGAGTTTATTCTGGTAGTGTCTGAGTCACCATTCATTACAGGTGATTGGAACACTGGATGATTAGAAGGGATTTTACAAGCTACAATTCAACCAATTGATGTCCAAGTTCACTCAGATACATTTTTGGAAGAAGCTATCTAGCCACTATAGCTCATCACTTCCTACTTTATTCCTTAATCTACTCTAACATACATAGTTCCACCAGGAACTACATAAACTTTAGGTCACTGGTTTTGCTTCCCCCCTCTACAGTTTGATTTTTGAGTCAGGGTATTATGTAGCCCAAGCTATATAACCAAGGATGGCTCCTGACTCCTGATTCTCCTTCCTCCACCTCCCCAAGGCTAGGATTATAGGGGTACACTACCATGCCCCACCCTCATTTCATTTTTTAAAATGTCTATACTGTGAGTGTAATCCCTACTGTATGCCACCCTGGATAAAATGCTATTTGCTGCAGTACATATGACCAAGGTGCAGAAATGCTAGTTTAGTACCTGGCACATAAATTTAGTAGGTATTTCTTAAGTCAATAAGAAAATAAGTCAAGCAAAAAATAAGGTCAACGAATACATCTAAAACATTCAAAACAGCATCTGACATTTAGCTTTTATTTGGTAACTTTGTATGAACTGGAAACAAAAAAACACTAAAGCCTGTACTGACAACTTAATTTGGGAGGCAAAAACCAAACATTATTACTTTCTACTTGTTCACTTACACGTTACAATTACATCTTTGACAAGAAAAGCTATGCCTAATTTATAAAGATACCTTGACCCTGAGAGCCTGTCAAAAATATATATATACAGAAATTAAGTTGGTCTTGAAGTGGGGAGCTGTGTCAGTTTTCTGGACCTGAGGTTCAGCTGTCTGTAAAACTGGAATGGGGAAAGATAGAAAGATGATCTTTAACACACTGTAGGCTTATATAAATTTGGATTTAGACTACTTAAACTTCTAACTCAGCATGAATAAGAACCTCACAACATATCAGCAAATAGCCAACTGGCATTTGAGTCACATGGCCAGTTTCAGTCAAGCTCCGATAGTATGTAGCTGCCTAATTTTAAGCAAGAAAAACTCTCTGGGTTTCAATTTCCTCAACCAGAAAAATGAAGCTGTTAGATAATATGAACTATTTCAAATACAAGAGAGCCACATTCTATAAAACAAGCTAACTCTTATGTTTATTCAGGTGGGGATTCAGTTACCATTCATTACCGATTGAAACAGTGGATCCCATGGAACCTTACAAACCTACTATCATTCACCCAACTGAGGCCCAAGTCCTCTCTAATACTTTTTTTGTTTTTGTTTTTTTGGAAGAAGCCATCTAGCCATTGTAGTTATGGCGAACTACTCATGATCACAAGCCACTCCATCTTAGGTCAGCTATAGTGTAAAGTTCTTTTACTAAAACCATACCATCCTCTTTGTAATTTTTACTCCGTTTTACCTCTCTTTACTTAAGGGACTTATATACCTTTGGATTGAAACTGACTGGAAATAACAGACACATCTCAAATAGTCTCTCCTCCAAAATTAAGATCGCCAACTGTCAATCGTTCCTCGTAACACACCAAAACCGCCCTTACCATCCATCCTGTCTTCCTCACGAGAACCTCAGTTCTTGCTTTAATGAAAGTCAAAATTAGCCGGGAGATGGCGGCACACACCTTCAATCCCAGAACTTGGGAAGCAGGGAAAAGGAGGATCTCTGAGTTCGAAGTCAGCCTGGTCTACAGACTAAGTTCAGGACAGCCAGGGCTACACAGACACTCTTTTAGAACACCCCAAATTTCCCTTGCCACCTCCACCCAAACACACATTTGGGGTGAGAAGTAATAACGCCCTGTTGCTCCTCCGGAAGGCACGGAGACCAGAAAGTGATGGCAGCACCAACCGAAGCCCGCACCCTGTTCTGCCCAGTCCGAGCCTCATCCCTCACCGGTACTGCTTGGGGTCGCTGGGAGACTTGATGATCTCAGGGTCGCCGGCATTACTGAGAGGGCCGCTCCGTCCCTCCTCTTCAGCTTCATCCGCTCCCAGTCGGGCAAGCCGGCCGCTCTCGCCCAAGTCCTGTCCATTGGGCTGCAGGTCTGGGCAGCTGCAGGTGGACTTCGCCTTGTTTCTTCCAGGCATGGTCAGCGTAGGAAAGGGTTTCGCAGATCCTTCGCACAGACCCCGTGCTCCGATTCGCCCCAGAGCCGTGAGCTCCCGCCCGGTCTCACACCCCAACTTCCTCCCGGTGGCACAGACTGCAGCAACCGCGACTCTCCTCAGCATTCACCAGCAAATCGTAGCGCTGGACATCCCGCTCCCCAGGCCCACCTCCTCCTCCTCCTTCTCCTGCCACTCCTCCTCCTCCGCGTCCCAGGAGCGGCGGCGGCGGCGGCCGGCGTTGTTGCTGCCGCAGCCGCTGGGGAGGACAGGCCTGAACCCCTCCTCCAACCCGGCCTCGCTCACACCGACTTCCTTCATCCCCCCACCCACCCCCCCCCCGATAGCCAATGACGCTATGGATTATAGCCAATCACAAGGCAGGACAGCCGTCACGTTTGCAGAAACAGCCAATAGAAGTAGGGGAAGGAGAGGAACCAATAGGAACCGTTCGAGTTCCTGACGCACCCAGAGGGCATTTCGAAACCTGAAGTGGGCGGGGCGAAAGAAAAGAGGCGGAGGATGATGGGGGAAGCTTTGCCGCGATTGTGACGTGCGCGGATGACTGTTTTAAGGAAACCGCGTAACGCTCCGCGTCCCTGAGAAAATATTCCCCAGAGAAACGACGCAGACGTGAGTCGAGATAGGAGATGCTGCTCTTCCTTTTCACCCGTTTGCGATTGATTTCGTGTACTCTGCTCTCAAGAGTGACTCAGCAAGTCTTTTTTTTAAAAAGCGGAGCACCGGAAGTTTTTGCCTACGGTATCCTGAGATGAACGCTGTTCTTGTGGGTCACTAAGCACCGGAAATAACAATTGCACCTTTCCACCCTGGAGGCTGCCAAGCTGTTGGTTCTTTTCTCGCCCAAAATCCGAAAGAGGGCCTAAAAGATAGGTTTGGTTATATCGCTCCCGTATGCGAAATGTTTTTGTTTTTTGTTGTTTTTAGCTTCCCCACAAGCTGAAGTCCTCGGCCTGCCTTTTTGTTTGCTTGTTTTGTTTTTTCAAGACAGGGTTTCTCTGTATTGTTTAGGAGCCTATCCTGGACTTGCTCTGTAGACCAGGCTGGCCTCGAACTCACAGAGATCCTCCTGCCTCTGACTCCCGAGTGCTGGGATTAAAGGCGCGCGCGCCACCAACGCCCGTCGGCCTGCCTTTTAAAGTTCAGCCAACTTTTACTGAAATGCAAAAACACCTTAGGCTGCCGCCCTCAAATTCCTTTCCCCAGTTTTGTTTTGTTTTTTGTTATTGTTTGCCAGAGACCTTGCTGCAACTGGAACCGACACTGTAAAATAAAAATCAGTTGACAAGATACATTATGTTGACACCATTAGATAATGAGATCATACCCCATGAAGGAAATAAACATTTTCAACAAGAATAAACGAAAAAAGACTTGAAACCCGTAGACGCATTAGTGGTTGTCTTTCCTGCCTCTGAGCTTCAGGTGCTGAAGATAAGGGTCATGAATAAAACAAATCGTTGCAGGTGTTACTGTCCATGCCTTGACTCAGCAATCAGGGAGGCGAATCAGGTGAATCGGGGCCAGCCTAGCCAGGGCTACCTAATTGAGACCCTATCTCAAAAAAAAAAAAAAAAAAAATCCTTGGCTTCCCGAAGTTTACTTATGAAAAGAAACAGATACGTTCAAAAGTAGTAAATGCTAAGACTACAATGCAGGATAGGAAGACAGCATGTTGGGGAGGTGTATTGGGACAGAAATATCCTGGTTTCAGTACACCTTCAGAGATTTGTCAGTTTTTAAGTGATTCCACGGGACTCCTAGTTCAAAGGAGCCTTCATCTGTGTCTCCAGTCCTAGAATGGCTGCCCAATGCATTGTAAAACCAATAGTAAATGTTGAGTAGACACCTAAGTGACAAAGTCTGGACTTTACACAAGAATGTTGTATTTGTCCTTTTTTTTTTTTATCTCTAAAGCAATAATGCCAAAAATAAGAAATCTTCAGTTTCAACTGTCAATGTCATTTTCCTAAGGAGAAAAGAAGCTTAGACCCTTAATTGGGATTTGCTGGGTTTTCCCTATGGGGAAACATATTCACTGAACTAACCAAGTTAGGTCCTGCTACGTGCCAGAAATTGGAAGTAACAAATATTTCCCCTTTCTCTTGAACTCACAAGAGAGCTAGTGGAGAGATGGACAGTAGCAAAGGACATGGAGTGCTCAGTTTGGCAGCATGTGTCCTAAAGTTGGACCAGTACAGAAAAGATCAGCATGGTTCCCGCTTATGGGTGACAGGCAAATTCATGAAGAGTTCCATAGTTTATGAAGTACCCTGGTACCACAACCACTTGCTTCAATGTTTTCCTGTCTCTTTCCCCTCTAAACAGCAGACATTAAGCACAACGATGGTGTCTCTGTAACTTACCATTTATACCTTTCAGTGTAAAAACAACTGAGTAGCCAGGCGTTGGTGGCACACGCCTTTAATCCCAGGACTCGGGAGGCAGAGACAGGTGGATCTCTGTGAGCCTGGTCTACAGAGCTAGTTCCAGGATAGCCTCCAAAACAATACAGAGAAACCCTGTCTCGAAAAACCAAAAAAAACAAAAAACAAAACAAAACAAAAAAAACAAAACTGAGTATAGCTGGGTCTTGGTGGTGCAGGCCTTTAATCCCAGCACACAAGAGGCAGAGACAGGCTGATCTCTGTGAGTTCAAGGCCAGCCTGGTCTACAAGAGTGAGTTCCAGGATAGCCTCCAAAGCCACAGAGAAACCCTGTCCCCCCAAAAAACAAAACAAACAAAAAACTGAGTATAAAGCTCCAAAAAAGAAGCATAAAATTTTTAAGTGTATAATTATAAATAACTCTGGATGGAGATACACAAACAGATATGCCCCATTCAGAGAGTTTTCCCAAAGAAGGGAAATTTAAGCTAAGAATGGAAAACTGCATAAGGATTGGTGTGGAAATGAACTTAATGGAAAGCCCTGAGTATGGTTAGACTGGTGATCTGGAAACAAAGGGACAGGGTTCAGTGGCAAAGATCACACAGAACATTCCAGAGAATCATGCATCGTTGGATTCCCTGAGCTTAGAATGTTTTCCAACAAGCTGTAGGTACTCACTAAGTAATGTGTGAGCAAATAAAGAGAAGGAATGATCACAACTGTTTTCCAAGTAGGTCACCATGGTCGATGAATTATAAATAAGTAAATAAGCAAATAACTAAATAAATACCTACAACCAGTTGGAGGCTGGAGAGATAGCTGCATGAGGACCAGCGTTCTGATCTTCAGAACCCTTGTAAAAGTTAGGCAGATGTGGTGGCCACCTAAAATTCTACCACTTGGAAAGAGGATTCCCAGGATACCTTAACTAGCTGGATTGGCCAGAATTGGCAAACTCTGGATTCAGTGAGAGTCCCTGACTCAATAAGTTAATTAAAGAATGATTGAGGTCATCAATTTCAGGCCTCCATAGGAGTGTGCACGTGTCCCTTACACATGTAAATATATATATGAACAAAGAACAAAAGATTAAAAATAATGAATTGAAGCAGGGAAGAGAGCAGGGCAAGACGGACATGAGAAAGTAGAATAGACATGTCTGTCATGTGACCTGGGATATTCAGAAGGCTGAGACAAGAGGATCACCTAAGGCCAAGAACTGGGGACTAGTCAGGAAAAAATGCCAAAGTCTCCCAAAAGCGAAATGAACAATTTCAAAGCTATTAAAGTGATACAGGGTTAGAAAATGACTTTGACTGCAGCAATGGTAGTAGAGATGAAGAATTATAGACAGACATGAGCTTAGGAGGCTGAACTGTTTGTTGAAGATTTATTATATCAATTTTGTATTTGTGAGTTTTGCCTCTGTGTGTGTGTGTGTGTGTGTGTGTGTGTGTGTGTGTGTGTGTGTGTGTGTGTGTGTGCACTATGTGCATGCCTAGCACCCTCAGAGACCAGGAGAGAGTATCACATTCTTTGGAACTGGAGCTGATGCTTGTAAGAGTCCATGTGGGAGCTGGGAACCAAACCCAGGTCCCTAGCAAGAATATCAAGTGCTCTTAACTGGGCTAGCTATCACTCCAGTTCCAAGTTAACAGACTTTAGTGATTTCTTTTTTTTTAGTTTTATTTTTATTTATGGTTGTGTGCCACATGTGTACCAGTCCTCACGGAGATCAGGTGAAGGTATCAGATCCTCTGGCAGTGGAGTTATAGGTTGCCATGAGCCACGCAACCTGAGTGCTGGAGTCTGAACTAGAGTCCTCTGGAAAGGCAGCAATGCCTCTGAGCTGCTGAGCCATCTCTCCAGCCACAACAGTAGTGTAGAGAAAGAAGAGTGGCATCAGGGTAACTAACTCCTTGCCTGCTAATTTTCTGTGTTGAGTCGAGCATGGTGCTATAACCCATCTTGGCAGGAGAAAAGGCCTTCCAAAGAGACAAACTTGTGACCCCCTCCTTAGCTATTATTTCCACAATGGTCCCCAGGAAATTAGAATTTCCCAGTCATCTCAGGTTGGATGACCTGATACCAGCCTGAGGAGGAGCCTGTCTCCCAGGAAAGGCTTTCACACAATCCTGAAAGCTTATCAGACCACTCTGCAGGAGAGACTAGGGCCAGGCAATAACAGGCCACATCTTGACAAGGGCTGCTTAGAGGCACTCTATTTAAGCCCAAACCTTATGTCAGGGCCCAGATGATGGGGCTTGGTAGGTCACTGGACTTCTCAGCAGCTTCTCTTCTCAGTGAGGCTATATTGGTTAAAGCTCTTGTCTCTGCTTTACACTGTCCTTTGTCTTTGTAAGTGGCCAGTTAAAGGCTAGTGGCTGAGCCAAACTTGTTTGATTTGCCTGGGTTTTGACCCTCCCATTTCTGCTAGTAACTTGAATAAGAGGAAATTCTGGAAGAGGAACAGTTTGGAGGGGAGAAAAAATTAACTCAGTTGGGGACAAGTTGTGTAATTTGCATACCTCACAAGTGAGGTCAGAGCCAGGAAGTGGTGGCGCATGCCTTTAATCCCAGCACTCAGGAGGCAGAGGCAGGTGGATCTCTGTGAGTTCAAGACCATCCTGGTCTACAGATCGAGTTCCAGGACAGTCTCCAAAACCACAGAGAAACCCTGTCTCGAAAAACCAAAAAAAGAAAAAAAAAAAGAAAGAAAAAAACAAGTGAGGTCAGATCTGGAGTCAGAAAAGAAGCCGAAGTTTGGGAGAAGTAAGCCTAAGACCAGTCAGCTCCTAGGAAATAAACAAAACTTACTAAAATCCTATCTCAGATGGAAAGAAGGAAGGAAGGAAGGAAGGAAGGGAGGGAGGAAGGAAGGAAGGAAGGAAGGAAGGAAGGAAGGAAAGAAAAGAAATACAGACAGGGGAGTCGGAGAGATGGCTCAGTGGTTAAGAGCACCAGCTGTCTTTGCAGATGACTTGGGTTCAGTTCCCAGCACCCCATGTCAGTGGCCTGTAACTCCAGTTTCAGCGAATCCAACACCCTCTTCTGGCCTCCAGAAGCTCTTGCATGCACGTGGTACACATAAAGTCTTGCAAGCAAACACATATACGCATATGTAAATAAATCTTTTCCAAAAGAAAAGAAAGGGAAGTGAGCAAAAAAGTAAGGGCCTAATCCTTAAGAGCTTGTGGAAGAGGAAAAAACTCACAAGGAAGAAAATCGAAGGAAACAGGAGAGATGAAGCTTCCAGAATGGTAATAGAAAAGCCAGAAGAGTGTGGCACCACAGCAAGAATTCCTCTCTGATGCAAACCTAAAAAATTCTGAGACTACAGCAGACATCGAAGTTCCAAATTAAGTGTATAAAATATAAGAATCAGGGGCTATGAGATGGTTCAAAAGGTAAAGGGTGATTGCTGCCAAGCCTAACAACCTGGGATTGGTCCCTGGGAGCTATGCAGTAGGAAAGAACCAAAGCTAACCAGTCATCTTCTGACTTCCACATGGCATGTGCTTACAGAAGTGCTCAAATACATATAATAAATCAACGTAATTCGTTTTTTAATTTAAAAAATTAGCAAGAAGTGACAAAAGTACCTTAACTTGGTTTCTTCAGCTATAAAGATGAATATATAATAAGTTAAAGTCCATAAATGACCTATAGCCTAGCTAGGACTTCCAAACTAGAACTATTGTTTTCTTGTTGAAAATAATTTTAAGCTGGGTAGTGGTGGTACATACCTTTAATTCTAGCACTCAGGAGGCAGAGACAGGAGGATCTCTTGAGTTCAAGGACAACCTGGTCTACTGAATGAGTTTCAGGGCAATCAGAGACACACAGAGAAATACTGTCTCAACACACACAGACACACAGACACACACATTAAAAAAGAGAATTTAAAAAGTTGCCGCACCTCATTTCAATATCCATATTTACTGTAAAGAAACAGGTACACTTAAGCTGCCTATATAACCATTTTATAAGAAATTGATGTTTTCCAAAATTAAAAAGCTTTTGAGATCACCAAGAAAGTTACAGAGCACAAGAGTATTATAAATTGTGTGGGTGCATAGAAGCATGTGGCGATGGGGAGAATGCATGTGGTGGGCAGAGGACAACATCTAGGGTTGTTTCTCAGTAACTGTCCACCTTGTTTTTTGAGGCAGGGTCTCTCATTGTCTGGAGTTTGCTAAGTGGACTAGGTATAGTAGCCATCTGTAGTAGCTGGTCTTTGAGGTGCCAACCTGTATTAACCCATGTTCTTGCCTGAGAGAGGAAGTGTGGATTGAGAAACTGCAGTTAAGATACTAAGAAAAGCATAGAGACACAGGATAGAATCAGGAGGGCCATCCAGTGAATGCTGAATGCCCCAAATTTATTCTTCAACATTCTTAAAAACCCCAACCAAAAAAGGGGGAAATGGCAAAAGACTTCTTTATTAGGATACAAGGAAGAAACAGATTTTCCTCCTTATTTCTCCAAACATTTGGTAACCACGCCTTAAACTAAATCTCTCATTATCTGGCCTCAAGTTAAGAGTAACCACACCTCAGACTAAGTCTCTTGTTACTAAGACATCTACACCTAAGACCAAACGTCTTGCAGTAGCAGTAGACACCTTAGACTTTTAGGTCTTATGACTTTAACCTTGGAAGAGTAAGGATAGTTTTGAACTCTCTGACCTTAAGCCAAGATGAAGCGAAGCCACTTTTATGGGCCCTGACAACTAGGCTGGCTGGCTGGTGAATCCTAGGCATCTGCTTGTCTCTACATCTCCAGTTGTGGGATTTCAAGCATGCACTGCCGTGAGTGACTTTCTCAAGTCTGTGTATTACAAGTACGCACCACCAAGAATGGGGTCACACATT